TGCCCCTTCTCTGGGCGTTCTTCCAGAAGTGGCCCCATTTCCACTGACACGGGTGTGCCGGCGCTTGGCGTCCTCCTCTACTCCTTGGCTCACTCAAACATTTACTAGCTCACCCGGCGTGTGTATTTTGAGCCCCCAAGAGGCGGTTTGATGTTGTGGTTGGGGGTGAAGGTTCTGGAGCCAGGCTTGATTCACATCCAGCTCTGCCGCTGGCTGGCTGGGCATCCTTGGGTGACTATGTGCACTCTGGTGACTCAGTTTCCCCCTCTGCAATCTGGAGAGATCAGGACCTCCCTCTCCATGTTGCTGTGAGGACTCTGGGGGTGAACCTGTGCTGAGCACGCAGGAAGCATGGTCTTGGGTCTGGATATTATGAAGATAACTCTTGCTGTTACCTGGTAGTGGGTGCTATTCCCTGCTGGGAAGAGAAATACACAGCGTGGTGCCTGAACTCGTGCCCAGCGTGTGTCTCTGGGGAGCCCCGGAGCTCGCCACTAAGCTGGAGATTTGTTCTGAATTTCCCCTAATGACAGCTTTGGGCGCAGGTACCTCGAGACTGAAGCCACAGCTTAATCTCCTTGACAAACAAACAGCGCACCAGCTGGCTGGCTCTGCAGTTGGGCTGGCCCTTCCCCTGTGGATTCATTTTCTCTCCCATTCTCTTTTTCTTTTTTCCCGATTTGGTTTTTCCTTTTCTCTTTGAGTTGCTCAGGTTGATGGGGATGGGGCCCCGCACAGGCTCCCTTTGTCCATGGCCCCACAGGGTGGTTGAGGTCCAGGTCTTAGCTGACCTTTGCTCTGCACCCCGCTGGCTGTCCAAGCTGACAGCCCTGAGCCGCTGCCTCCTGGTCTGCTCCAGGTGAACAGTGACGCCTGCTCCGCTGACCCCTGGGTCCTGGGGGTGGGCAATTGTGCTGGACGGCAGATTTGGGACAGAAGAAAGCGCCGTAGTTATGAGCCAGGACGCGGGACTCGGGCTTCCTGGGCTGGACTCTCTCTGCGACTTACAAGCTATGATCTTGGGCTAATCATTTCAACGCTCAGTGCCTCAGTTTCCCATTCTGTTGAAAAGGAGTAACAAAAATGCCCTCCTCATTAGGCATTTGAGGGGCTTGAAGAAGATGGCATGTGCCAGTGCTCCACCCGTGTCTATCCTCAGCATTTGAGGACTGAGAGCTGTTTCCCATACAAGGGCTTAGCACGAACAGATCCTTTCGGTTCCACTGGAAAGCGCTAGAAGAGAGTGGAAGCATGCTCGCCTTGTGCTCTCGTAGCGAAGTGCATCTGGGGCGTCTCGAGAGGCTTTGAGTACAAGAGCCAGGGGCAGGGGTAGGCTGAGGCATGTGGGGCCACATATTTGCCTTTATCTCCCCAACTCGATGCTGGGTCCTTGAAGGCGGGGCCGGGTACACAGTAGGCGCTCACATAGTGAATGACAAGTGACAGTGACAGCCCAAGGGAGCCCAGGTGTGCTTGGAATTTGACATCTACCAAATCCCCGTCACCCTCTGCTCCCCAAACTGCACATGATGCCAGGGCGCAGGATAGATGATTTCTGTTTGGGTTGATGCAAAACGTACAGCAAATTCATTCATGCCTGTCCGCGTCTCTCTAACGGACCCTTGGAGTCATTGTCCCTAAGTAATGGTTTGGCCAAGTGGTGGATCCAGGGAGGTTTTCCGATGATTTCCTGTTAATTCGTCCTTGAGTAATCTGCAAGGACACTTCTGGCTTTGCAAACCGGGCTCTCCCCCTCATTAAGCTGGCTTTCTGCTGGCATTCACCTAACAGCCTTGGGCGTGGTGCCCGCCCCTCACCTCTGTGGACAAAGCCCCTGGGCCCCGAGATGTGGGAAGAGAGAGATTTGTGGGGACAGGGGAAGGTCAGGGGCTGCTTGTCTCTGTGAAAATCGTCGGTCATTTCCCCAGCTTGAAAGGACTGGTGGTCTTTTGGGCTCCAGACTTGGGTTCTGTAGGAACTCAAAATTAACGCATTAAATTAATTTTGTGCTCCCTTTGCTCAAGATGATTAGCACAAATCAAATTTCACACTAATTGGCTAAGGCAGAGAGAGCAGGAGCCCAGTGTGTGGGATGGATGCTGATGGTGGGGGTTGGGGGCGGGTGTGAGGGGCGTGACCTGGGGCGTTTCTGGATGCACCAGCCTGTATTCAGTGCCCCTTGCAAATGATCACCTCTCCACCTGGAGGGCTTGTGTGTGTCCACAAGCAAATTAACCCATCTAAAGCCAAGTGTGAGGCAAGATTAGGAAGAGATCCTAGCAATTTCTATGGCAGTAATTCTTTCTATTTAAGTTATATTATTGAGGTCACTTGGTTTATAACATTCTGTAAATTTCAGGTGTACATCATCATGGATCAGTTTCGGTGTAGACTGTATTGTATTCACCCCCAATAGTTTAGTTTTGTCCGTCAACGAACGCCTGTGCCCCTTTATACCTCTCACCCTCCTTCCACCCTCTTCCCCTGTAGTAACCACCAATCTAGTCTCCACTTCTATGTGTCTGTTTATCTTCCACACATGAGTGAAATCACTCATTTGTGTTTGTCTTTCTCTGTCTGACTTATTTCGCTCCGCGTAATACCCTCGAGGTCCATCCCTGTTGTTGCAAATGGCGCCGTTTTGCCTTTTAAACTTTGTTGTGCTTAAGAATCACCCTAGAGTGTTGAAATTCAGATCTCTGGGTCCAGCCTCAGAGGTGGTGGTTGGGGGCATCTGAGGGTCCTGGAATTTGCATTTTAACATCCATCCCAGGTCAGTGCAATGCAAGTGTTTCCCCAGAACACTTTAAGGACAACAGTGTAAGGAATAGCAAAAGATGGCCCCAGCCCAACGACAGCCAGGAAGGCTCTGGTAGAGCCCCTCCTTCATGGACTGGGGGCTGTGACTTGGATGTGACGGATCTGGGTTCAAGTCCCTGTTCTGCCACTTCCTTGCTTTGTGACGTCACAGCATGCCCCGTAAACCTCCTTTTTGCTCTGTTTCTATTGAAATCTGCATTGTGGTCTGAGCCGTCACTGGTGTGGCCAGCAGGATGGGAAGCAGATGGGCTGGAGGAGAGAAAAAGCTGGGGAGCAGAGAATCTACAGGCAGCCCAGCTCAACTTTTTTTTGGACTCTTTAAAAGATACTGTTGTGTGTTTTTCTGATTGTGCAAGTGGTTAAAAAAAATCAACAGTATAGAAATGCGTCAGAAGGCAGTTGGAGTCCCTTGTGGGCCCACCCTTCCAGAAAAAAAAAATCCCTAGTAACAGTTTGGGAATGCCTTTTTTTGTGCAAGTACAAATAAAAATGGGAACATGTTGAAGATTCTATTCTGCAACTTTGCTTTTTTTTTTCCCCCTTGGCAATGTACCTTGGGGAGTTTTTAATGGCAGAAAATATAGATTTGCATCCTCTCCCTTCGTGGGGCAGCTGAATGATTATTGAGACAGCCTGTGAGCTGATAGCATTGATGGGGACTCGCTCGGAAGGGCAGCCAGATTCCATACTGGAAGGGCCACTTAGCACCTGTGTGATAACACCCCACCAGCGCCCCTCAGTACCACGCGGAGGGTCTGATGGGAGAGCGAGGTGTTTTGACATCTTCGTATGTGACATTGGTGGCATAGAATGGGAAGACAATGGGCATTGCCTAATTCAATGCATTTACAGCGCAGGGGACCAAAGCCCCATACAGGAAGACGCTGGTCCACGGTCACACAATATGTTAGTCGTTCTGTTGGGACTTGAACCCTGTACTTGCCTCTATTTCTTTTTCTTTTCCTTCTCTGACCCTTGACTTTAACCACAGCCTCACCTAAGAGGTCGCCTGTTTCATGAGCCACCCTCGTTCTGTGCAAGGTCATTTCTGAGCCTCTTGGGCGTAAAGACTCCACTCGTATATTTCTCTCCCCACTTTCTTCAGCATATCCTTGAGCCTGGAAGGCTGCATTTTGGAACAATTATACCATTTGTTATTTACTGGTCAGTTATTTTGGTGAAAAAGAAAAGTCAGTGCTAATGGGAATTCATTGAAAAATAAACATTTGTCTTTTTAATTTTAAACCTGTCTATCTTACCTCATTGAGGTAGGACCTAAGCCCTTTGAGAACGAGCATCTCACTCAAGATCCACTTCTTTCTTCCTTAAACCACGCCCCTAACACACGACTATCTGATTTCCAGTTTTGATTTCAAGCAGAGCCAGTGGCAAAGTAACGTGAGTGTAGAAACCTAATCTTTTACTTTTGCTTTTTTTATAGTTCTTGCACCTACACCCATTTGACAGGATTTTAAAAAGCAACTCACCTGTATTTATTCTTTTCAAGGCATTCACCCTAGTTTTCCTGGAAATTCTTTGCCCAGCCACACTTTATGGTTATGTAATAGCTAATTGAATAGGTAATTACAGTAAAAATGGAACAGGCATAAACAGGTGAGGAACACACACAATTGATATTAGGTGTGCGTGACTATGGCCACGCCCGGTAGAGGCAGATGGTAGAGGAGAGCTTCCCTGGCTGAGAGCGTTCCTATGTGGGGGCGTCTGTGGGTGTGTCTTCCTGAGGGAGCCAGTCGGTTGGTCCAGCAAGAGGACTCCCTCAAGGATGGTTAAGCAGAGTTTGTACTAGAATAGCTATTTTTTATTGAGCAGTTACCACGTGCCAGGTACTGTGTTAAGCTTTATGTGGATTATCTCACTTAATTCTCAAAACAATGCTGTAAGTTATCCCTTGCTCTCTGAAGATGAGAAAACTGAGCATCAGATGGACGTCCTATCTGGTTTAAAGTCACACAGTTGGTGGGTGTCGGGCCAAGAATTCTAACACACCAAGCCCAGTAAAATCCTGATGCCCGTGCTCTCAATCACCTCATTACACTGAAGGGTCGCCTTGCCATGAGAGCCAGTGATCTGTCCAAGGGTGGTCATGTGGAGTGTGCCTAAGGGAGAAGGGTTGGCGGCCCTAGTGAGTGACTTTCCTTGAACCCTTCGCATCCCAGATTGCTGACTTGACCACAGAGCTCGCTGATGAGCGCTTCAAAGGGGACGTGGCCTGCCAGGTGCTGGAGAGTGAGCGGGCCGAGAGGCTGAGGGCCTTCCGGGAGGTCCAGGAGCTGAAGGTGAGGGGTCTGGGGTGGTGGTGGGTGGCTGAACAGGGTGGCTGGGAGTGGTTGGGCCTGCCCTCCTCTGCTCACATCTGGGACCAGTAAACCCAAGCAAGATGCACAGGCTTACTGAACCCCATGCTCAAGGTCCTGGAGGACACTTGGATCTTCTTAAGGATTGGCCTTGGAGATGCCCTGGGTGAAGACTGTGCAGAGGGTGGACAGTCCCTGGCTAGGGAGGCACCCTGGGTGAGGACCATGCATGGGTGGCGAGTCCTGGTTTGGGAGGCACCGAGGGGGAGATGGCCAGCTCAGGCCTCTGTCCAGCCCCAGTGGGGACCTCGAGGCCTTTCTTCCAGAGCAAGTATGGGCAAGTCCAGAAGAATTTGGGAGAAGTGCAGAAGCAGTTGGAAGAAGCTCAGCAGAAAATTCAGTTGAATGACTTGGAGAGGAGTCACACTGGAAGAGGTGAGCAGGCTGGGACCCTTGGGGTTGGATGCTGGTGGGAAAAGCTACCTTTCATGTCATTCATTCATTCATAATTCATTCACTCATACACACTGAGCGCTTACTCTGCGCTAGACCCTGCGTGGGGGGCTGAGACCTTGGCAGAGCCTACAGTCTAGTGGAACAGACAGACATTGAGCAGATAATCCCACAATAAATATCCCAAACAATGAATTATCCATGTGACAGGTGCTGGGTAGTAATAATGCAAAGAATGATAACAAAGTAGTATCTCGATGGGCAAGGCACCTTTATATTTATATGAGTATTTTTAGTATAAATTTTGGGGAAGGCAGTTGACTGCTTAAAAGTGAAACCTATGACGTCACGATTCTGGATTTGAATCCAGACTCCATCTTTTATTAGATGAGTGGCTTTGGGCATAGAAATTATTGGGCCTCGATTTTCTCATCTTTCAATGGATGTAGTCACAGATGATTAATAGAAAGGGTTTAGCCACTTACATGGCACCAAGGGCTGAATAGCTGTTAGCTGCTTTACCCTTATTACCAATACTTCTAATAGTGGGATCGTAATCCATGCTCGTAACCACCCACGGAGCAGAAACTACTACTGTCCCCATTTAAAAGTGATGTCGGGCACTGAGCAGTTGCTGAATGAATGGAGAGGAAGTGAGGGGACCCCTGAATTGCCCAATGATCGATGTGCTCAGCAGAGCCAAGCATTTCTGGTGGTGCCCGTCTTACACAGTTGCCTGCAGACTCACATCCCATGGTTGGATGGGCATGGTGACATCTTTGTCAACTCCGCTCCCTGGTCTAAATGAGTCAGGTGAGAAGGATGCCCAGGGTGCTTGTCAGCCTTTATCAAATGTTGACATCATTCCTTCGGTGCCCCTAGAGAATTCATGCCCCAGAAATGTCAGGGACACTCAGAGGAACGGAGGTCAGGAGGCGGTGGAGAAGAGACAAGGCGCGTTTGCTTTCTACTCTGCTCTTGCCCTGCTCTCATCCTGGCCGCCCCCAGGGCAGGCATTTCCCAGGGAGGTTAATGCAGAGGACTTTGAGGTTGTAAGAAGACCTAACAAGGTGGGTACATACAAGGTCAGGGAAACGAGTTTGCACAGAACCGGCGGAGAGGAACAGCACAGTCTCCCCAGAACATCATGAGCCCCATTTCCGACCTGACTGTGGCTTATGTTTCAGTGGTACGCCCCTGTGTGTTTTCCTATGGAAAGGCATGGGAGTTGAATGAGAGGGGGAGATGGGCACATTAGTCACAATGCTATATAGGCTCTCAGCTCCAGATGCTCATTTTAGGAAGCCAATCCACAAATATTTTGTTTTTCATTATGAAAGGAATACATACTCCTGATAGAAAATTTCTAAAATGCAGGAGAGTTGAAAGAAGCGATATAACAATTTAATCCCACTGCTGCAGTGCCCCCACAACCCCCTCTATGGATCAAGCTGGAGTATAAATTATCAAAAATATATGTTTTTCCTCGATGCAGGGTTAAGTATTTAAAGACAGCCGTTTATGGTATGCATCCAGCACTGAGCTGGACTCTGGGAGCCGGGGGGAGGTCACAGAAGAATTTTAGTTGGCCCTGCTGTCAAGAAACTTGCAATATAAGTGGGGAAGTCAGATAAACCCAGGAAAAATGTGACTGGAGAATGAAGAGCTGAGCTGTATGCACTGATTGAGAATGGCACCGTGGGAAAGGAGGGTGGAGGTGGAAATCAGCCTTGAAGACTGGAGAACAGTTTCCTCATCTGCTCGTGTTGCCCCCTCATTCCACCTGCTCCTGGCACATCATAGCACAGAGTACGCAGTCAGCCAGAGAAATGCTTTCTACTTCCTCTTCTTTTTCCAGGCTATGCTGTTTGCTACTTGAGATTTTTTTTTCCTGGTGGGGAGGCAGAATTCTTTTCCCATCATATTATTTACCTTAGTGGAAACTTGAAAAAGCTCTAACTCCTCACAATTAGATCATCCTTCTGTTTGGGTTAGTTATCTTGGATTCCCTGTTGTGGTCACCTCCTTCAAGACTCAGTCCTACCATCCACCCACCTATCCATCCATCCACCCACCCATCCATCCATCCATCCATCCATCCATCCATCCATCCACCCATCCACCCACCCACCCATCCATCCATCCATCCACCCACCCATCCATCCATCCACCCACCCATCCATCCATCCATCCATCCTTCCATCCATGTATCCATCTATATACTCACCTATACATCCACTATTCCAGTGAAACTTATGGAGCATTTATGATATGATAGGCATTGTAGTAAGTTCTGGGGACACAACAATTAACAAAACAAAACAAAAAAAGGTTTGCTGCCCTTTTACTTTTGAATCCTCTTCTGGATTTCCATAAGCTTCCTTTATAAGAGCCTTGATCATGCCAGGTTGCAGCTATCTTTCCACATGTTTGTCTCCGCCACAAGATTCTCTTGGAAAATAGAATGGTTTCTTATTTATTCCATTATTTCTTGTGCCTGATATGGAGTACTGTGCTCAATGAATGCTTGGATGGATGGTAGGTAGATGGAAGAATATATGATGGATGGATGAATGGGTGGATGAATGGAGAGATGGATGGATGGATAGATGGATGGATGTATGGAAGGATGGGTGGGTGGATGGACGGATGAAAGGATGGATCAATGGAGAGATGGATGGATGGATGGATGGATGGATGGATGGATGAAGAGATGGATGGATGGAGAGATGGTGGATGGATTGAAGGATGCATGGATGAATGGATGGAGAGATGGATGAAATGGATGGTCTCTATCTTAAGCTCTCCACTTGTGTAATGTTTTGCACAGCTCCATTACCTTAAGGGACATCACTCTATTACTCAGAGAGTCAAAAGTTAAGACATCATAACCTAGTCTAGCCCACTCTTTTCAGCCAGTTTTCATCACACCAGCAAATGATTTTTTTAGATTTTTATCAAATCAAGGAATTGTTCTCTTATCTCATAGAGACATCTTGTGACCAATGTCTCTGTTGTTATGCATTCAGTAGACTTTTTAATTATTGCTCATTGATTTGTTAACTAATTCAACCAAGAGTCACCGATTACACGCTCTGTGTCACCCAGTGTGGTTGGCCAGTAGGATGACTGCAGTCGGTGAACTTGTACAAATATGGGGAATCTCCTGTGTGTAGGGAATTCTTCTAGAGGGTGTTGAGGATCCACCAAGAACTAAAACATCTCCCTTGCCCTCAAGGATTGTGGAATTTTCTTGGAAATAGAAAGATATGTGTGCACTTGTATAGAGAAATTGAACAGTATAAAGCAACCAAACTAGAAAAACGAGTAATAACCAGACAACTGGAGACGGTCAGGAGAGATCACCTGTAGGAAGTGTTTTTCTTTAAGCTTAGACTTAAAACAGGATTTCCTAACCTGAAGTCCAAGGTCGAGCCTCAGGAACTCTATTAATGTTGTGAAGTTGTGGACAAAGAGCTCAGAAAGTGGAGAAGAAGCTCGCTCATTCACCCAGCCTTCCGTCTTGGCCTCCCTTTGTTAAGCAGCGGACGAGTGGCAGATGCGCTTTGACTGTGCCCAGATGGAGAATGAGTTCCTCAGAAAGCGGCTACAGCAATTTGAAGAGAGGTTGGACTCAGAGCTGACATCCAGGAAAGAGCTGGAGCAGAAGGTAAGAGGCAGGAGACAGTCTGGGTCACAAAAGTGTCTGAGTGGGCGGGTTCTCACCCCTACTGTGGATGATCCAGCTGTTGGCCGGCCCTGGGGGGGTAGAAGGAGGGTGCCAACAATTTCATGTTTTTCCACCTCCACTGATATTACAAATGCTGGTCACCGTGGGATGTGGAAAATATTGTCTCTACACGTGGGTCTTCTACACTGGGGAAGAATACTCTGTGGCATAAAAAACTTGAACGTTAACTCAGGGTACCTGAGTTCCAGTCCCATTTCTGCTTTGACCTTGTGGAAATCACTTTACCTTTTGGGTCTCGGATTTCTCATCTATAAAATGGTTGATATGCTCTTAAAACAGTCAAATTTTGTCCATTCTAATCTTCCACCTCCATCTCCCATCCAGACCAGAGCAAGAGCCTTCTAACTGGTCTCCTTGCCTGCAGCCTCTTCCCTCAACCGCCTGGCACACTGCAGCCAAGGGGTCTTTCAGATTCTCTTTCACATTGTTCTGTTATCGCGAGTTATGCTGGCTCTCGTGGTGGAGTGTTTCCTTGCGTGTTTTGTACATTTTGATTGTGAGCTCATCTTCAACACGTCCCTCAACTCCCACTGCAGTGGCCCCAAGTAGTTTGCTTTGTGAAATACTCCTTGTTTTTTTTTATTGTGAGTTAATCTTATTTTTTTTTGTGAGTTAATCTTATTTTTAAATTTTAAAAAGTTTTTTTATCAGTTTTAATGAGTCCCGTATTTACAAGGTTGTGGGTGTGCTCTTTGAGAAGAAGCATTTTTGCACTTTCTTCTGCAGCAGCCCCTGAGGTTATGCTAAATTCTCCATTTCAGATCTTTGCAACACGTGCAAAGTGTCAATTTGAGCTCTGAACCTGCATGAGGCACAGACCTCAGGTTTTGATTTCTTACGGGACTCCTTTCTCCCCACTCAGAGCCAGAGTGGCAGCAAGCTTTCTTAGCACCTTCCAGGCCAGTGTGGGGAGCTTTCCTGCCCCCTCTCACCGAGGGGGAGCTCCTGAGGGTCCTGACTTAAGGCCAATGTCTTCAGTCCAGCTCCCCACCTTCCGTGGGTCCAAGGCCCTGTCTCCTGTCTCTGTCAGGGAATTAAAACACAACCTCTATCCTTAGGGATGTTCTAGATCTTTCAGCTGCTCCTCTTCTCCCTTACCCTGGCTGCCATAGTGTCAGCATCTACCCATATTGCTCTTCTTTTGTGTCCTCTGCATTTCCTACATCCTGAAATTTCCTTTTCTTTCTTGAAAGTGCAGCTGGATACGAAAAATATAACATCATTTTACCTAGTGTTTCTGGATGGACGTTTTGATGGTTTGGGCTCTTTACCTTTTGCGTTCTCTCCATCACCTCTAGTCTGCATTCCAACCAGTCTCCACTTTAACCGGTGATGTGCTGGTAAACCGGCTCTCCGAAAACAGACCAACAGACACCCTGATGTGTAGTATTTTCCAATTGCCAGTTTCTGGGGTGTAAATAGTCCCACCATGGCCAGTTTGAAGCTACCGTTCTGAGGTCTCTGAATGTGGAATTGGGACGAGATTTGCAGAATCAACTCTTGTAAGTTGGCATAAGCCAGCTCCAGCACTCCATTGAGTCCAACCACACCCAGTTGCTTAAGGCTCACAACAAAATTGAGAGGAAGGTACAGAGATTTCCCATAAGCCCCCTGCCCCCAAACATGCGTAGTCTCCCCCATTATCAACGTCCTCCACCACAGGGGGACATTAGTTACGGTGGATGAACCTACACTGACACTTCATGATCACCCACAGTCCATAGTTTACATTAGGGTTCAATCTTGGTGTTGTCCATTCTATGGGTTTGGACAAATGTATAATGACATATATCCACCATTATAGTTTTATACAAAGTAGTTTCACTGCCCTAAAAATCTTCCATGCTCTACCAATTCACCCCTCTCACTAACCCCAGGCAACCACTGATCTTTTTACTGTCTCCATAGTTTTGCCTTTTCCAGAACGTCATATAGTTGGAATCACACAGTACACAACCTTTTCCGATTGGCTTTTTTCACTTGGTAATATGCTTTTAAGCTTCTTCCATGTCTTTTCATGGCTGGATGGCTCGTTTCTTTTTAGTGCCAAATAATATTCTATTGTCTTGAGGTACCATAGTTTATTTATCCACTCACCTACTCAAGGACATCTTGGGTGCTTCCATGTTTTGGCAATAAGGAATAAACCTGCAATACATCTCCGTGTCCAGGTTTTTATGCAGACATAAATTTTCAGCTCCTATGGGTAAATACCAAGAGGCATGATTGCTGGATCAAGTGGTAAGAGTGTGTCTAGTTTTATGAGAAACTGTCAAACCATCTCCCAACGTGGCTGTCCCATTCTGCATTCCTGCCAGCAATGAATGAGAGTTCCTGTTGCTCCACGTCCTCACCAGCATTTGATGTTGTCAGTGTTCTGGATTTTAGCCATCGAATAGGTGTGTAGTGGTATCTCAGTGTAGTGTTAACTTCATGTCCGTGATGGTGTATGATGCAGGGCATCTTTTCATAAACTTATTTGCCATCCGTCTTCCTTCTTTGGCGAAGTGTCTGTTAAGGTCTTTGGCCCATTTTTTAATTGAGTTGTTTTCTTATTATTGAGTTTTAAGAGTTCTTTGCATATTCTGGATAACAGTCCTTTATCAGTCGTGTCTTTTGCAAATATTTTCTCCCAGTTGGTGTCATTTCATTCTCGTGATAGTGTCTTTTGCAGAGCAGAAATTTTTAATTTTAATAAAGCCCTGCTTATAAATTCTTTCTGTCACGGGTCATACCTTTGGTGTCATATCTAAAAAGTCATTGCCAAACCCAAGGTCATCTAGGCTTGCTCCTGTGTTATTATCCAGGAGCTTTAAGGTTTTGGATTTTGCATTTAGGTCTGCGATCCATTTTGAGTTAGTTTTTGTGAAGGGCGTAAAGTCCAATTCATCTTTTTGCATGCTGATGTCCAATTGTTCAAGCACCATTTGCTAAAAAGACTGTCTTTCCTTTATTGAATTGCCTTTGCCCCTTTGTGAAATATCAATTGATTAGATTTCTGTGGGTCTATTTCTGGGCTGTCTATTCTGTTCCATTGCACTGTTTTTTCCCTCCTTCCAAAAGTGCCTTATTCTTTCTCATCCCTGGGCCTTTGCATATGCTGTTTCTCTTCCTAGAACACTCTTTCTCTTCTTTACCTAGGTATCTCCAACTATCCTTAAGATCTCAGCTTAAATATTGTTCCCTCCAGAAAGGCTTGCTTGACACAGATTGGGTTCCCCTGAATTGTTTTCCCAAGTATAAGCCTCCTCATGCTGCACTGTAGTGGTCTCCCCAATTAGAGGGGAGCGCCATGAAAGCTGAGGTTGTCTTTGCCTGTCCCACTATTATATATATCTCCCCATTGTGAGGGGGTAGTATCCTGTGGTCACCTTGCAGAGTGGGCCAGGGTGAGACCACACGGGATTATATAAACAGTGGAGGTGAGGCTCACGTCCTCGGTGGTGGTGATGGTTTTAGTGGTTCCTTCCAAGACGGACAGGATACTGTGATCCTCAGGAGACACCCTGAGCTGTAGGTTCCCATATGCAGGAGGAGAAGGGCAGGGTAACAGCCCAGTTCTTTAATAACAAATTATAAAGTCAGGTCACTTTCCCCTAGGAAGGGGGGTGGTGTTCATGCTACATTAAAAAGTAATAAAGCTGCAACCTTTTCTGAGCAGTAGAATCTAAGAAAACATCCCATTTGCCTTCGAATACGGAATTTAGAATTACAGGCTTCATTAACTCAGCATTTTGCTTATTTAAAGCAATTCTTTAATGAGGCCATTTCTTCAAAGCGAGTGTGCTGAGTTGCGCTTGCTCCCAGATCTAAAGTAGGACATTTGGGAGGGTGCTTCCCGGAGAAGATGCTGGAGCCCGGCCTCTTCTGTTTGTTTACGGCCGTGTGCATTCCTGGGTAATTCAGCCCATCCAAAGTGCCACTTGCTGCTCTCACCTTTCCAGCCCGGCTGTTGGGTTTCCTGGGCAGATTTCCAGGTGTGCCATTTTGTTTGCTTCATGGCTAATCCTCATATAGCATCACAGATTATCCAGCCGATGGGGATGTCAATTATACAATACTCAAGGCGTAGCCAGCCCCGGTGGCCAGTGATTAAGATCTGGCGCTCTCACCGCTACAGCCCGGGTTCATTTTCCAGTCAGGGAACCACGTCACCTATCTATAGGTTGTCAACTGTGGCGGCTGCGTGTCGCTGTGATGCTGAAAGCTAGGCCACGGGTATTTCAAATACCATCAGGGTCACCCACGGTGGACAGGTTTCAGCAGAGCTTCCAGACTAGACAGACTAGGAAGAAGGACCTGGCCACCCACTTCTGGAAAAATTGGCCATGACAACCCTGTGAACAGCAGCAGAGCATCGTCTGATACAGCGCTGGAGAGTGAGAGGATGGTGCAAAGAGACCAGGCAGGGGTCTGCTCTGCTGTCCACAGGGGCATTAGGAGTCAGAATCCACTCGACAACACTAACAACAAACTCAAGGAGCTGTCGAGTGGAGGCAGGGCATGGAAAGAATCTGTGGGCATGTTGGCAGGAGGGTTATTGAGGAAAATGAAAAACAACCCCAGGAGATTGATGGAATTGCACCCATTATACCCCTGATCAAACTGAGGCTCAGAGAAATAGCTTCTCAGGGAGACATGGGTAGAAAGTGGTCAAGACGGGGTCTCTCCAGCTCCAGGCTGTTCTTTCTTCATTACGCTCACCTTGGGAATGGCAGCCGCTTGCAACAAAAAGTAGAAAGCTTGTTGAGCGCCACCAGAGTGAGTGATTCCTTCTGTCCCCCCCACAGCTCGGGGAGCTGCAGAGCGCTTACGAGGGCGCCAAGAAGACGGCTCACCAGCTGAGGAGAAAGTGCCACCGTCTGACCTGCGACCTGGAGGACACCCGCCTCCTGCTGGAGAACCAGCAAAGTCGCAACCACGAGCTCGAGAAGAAGCAGAAAAAGTGAGTCACGTTTGGGGCCAGGGCGAGGGCTGCCTCGGTGCTGGGGTCTTCTGGGGTCCCTGGGTTCTCCTCCTAAGCCCCCTCACTGCTGTCAGGGCTCCTCGTTCATGGGGTGTAACCGCGTCATCCTGCCCTAAGTGCCCGGTCCCCTCACATCTTATTCTTGCTTCTCCCAAGAATTCAGCAAGAAACTATTCTTTTCTGTTACCCAGTCTCAGCTCTCCTACCAATGGACTATGTGACCCTGAGGAACTTTCTCGGCTTCTCTGGGCCTCAACTTCCCCATTTATCAAGTGAAGAATTTGTTTTGGAGGGCGAAGACAGTCTAGCTTGGCGGTTAGCACAAATGCTGATGTCACCCCACCCCCCAAGTCCCAGCTGTGGCTCTTTCTAGCTGTGTGACCTTGGACAAGACATTCAACCCTTCTCAGCCTCAGAGTCTTGTCTTTAGGTGGCGGGCGAGGATGCCTCCTTGTGGTGAGGACTAAATGATACAATTGGCATCTACAGACAAAATTTGGGTTCCCAACCCCATTGTTGAAAATGGGCAAAGAGAATGAGGAGATGACCGAAGTGGAGTCGCTGCCCTTTGCATTTAGGGTTTGGATGCTCGGATCACGTGAGCAATTCTGCTGGAGGCTGGACCTTGTGCACCAAGAAGATGCCCATCTTGAGTCTGCACACGGGTTCCCGTGTCCGCTTCCCGTGGGGATGCTGTCCCAGCTCGCCGGTGGTGGAGCCTAGCCTGGAGCCCAGGTCCACACTCACGGGCTTCCTTATACAAAACCTCAGCACTGTGATGCCCTGGTTCCTGGCCACCCTGGCTGTGTCTGAAGGTCTTCAGCTCACTCGGTGAGGGTGGGTCCTGAGCAGAGGTCCTGTTTTGAGCCAGAGGAGCCCTGATGGAGACTTCATGAGGGAAATAGGTGAAATGCAGCCTCTTTTAGAAGGTCCAGGATGAAAATACAGAAAAACATTCCGGTGTGTGCCAGGACCTGGTTTCGCTGAGGACGTCTCTGTTCCAATACTTGGTCAGCCGAATTTTATTTCCATGGCAATAGCATTGATTTTGAACTTGATCTGAATTCAATACTATTTCTCTCATTTATCCTTGAGCTTTCCTGAGCTGGCTTCTTCATCTGGAAAAAAAAAAAAAGATCTTTTAGGAGTTGTTAGCATGCTCCCCAAAAGGAGAGGTTTATTCTCTTCCTATGGATGTTTGACTCCATTTCCTTTTCCACTTTCCCGTGGGTGCTCTGGCTAAACCTTGTCCTTACAGTGGGAAAAATGGCTTAGGCCCGTCTTGGCCATTTCTTGGGTGACCTTGTCAAATGGTACTATCCCTGTGGGCCAGAGAGTGACCGAGGTTTCAGAGGAGTCCTTGGACTTAAGCAGGTCACCTGGCGCTGGAGAATGGCTCCAACAGACCCCATCTGTCAATCGAGAGGCACGGACTCAGTCATCCCTGAGGTTTCCGGGGGTCATGGAGCTGTAAGGATCTTGGTCCTCCTCTGTGGGTTTTGCTCCTGTTCTGAGAGGCTGTATGGAGGGTTTAAGCCCTCTGATGGGGGGAGGGGGGGCCTGCCCCTGGAGTTTATGCAGCTAGATAATTCCATCTCTCGGGTCTTTCCGTGACCCCTTTGGGCAGAATCTCTCATTCCAGGTACTCAAGAAACTCCCCCGTGAGGCCCCCTGGGAAAGTCCCCATTTCTTATACTCACATTTCCTCTTCTCAAGACCTACCTGTCCCGTGATGCCCTCCGCTCTGCTACCATCTCTTGACAGAACACGTTAACTTATGTTCTTATGCTAATTGCAAGTAGCAGCCGTTATCTTTCTAGCTGGACTAGCTTTCCAGCAGGGAGCCTTCGGGGTCAGTAGAAGTCTCAGTCCAATGGTGGAAATTTGGGCCGAATGACTCTAGTGAGGGAAAGATCTAGAAGTTAGCAGTACTTCCTTATCTCTCTCTAAGTTTAATCAGATTGTATATCCAGCCGCCTCCTTAGCTTGTGGGCGATGAAGGGACGTCTTCACGCCGCTAGAGCTCCCTGCTCCCGCCTTGGCTTTTAAGTTCAGAGTGGCCCGCAATGGTTCCATTGGCATCGGCTCCTGGTTGCCATGGTTACCCCATGGGCTGTCAAGCTCAGTTCTGAGGGCTGATGGAACCCCAGCCTGCTTCCTCAGGGTAAGCCCTGTGCTGGGCTCATGGACTCCCACTCTCACCGGCGGCCGGACCCCAGGCCCACTCCCAGTGGGCTGAAGGGTGTGTGCAAATCCGTCTGGCCTCAGGCAGTGGGTGGGTCAGTGTGTGCCAGAAGTTAAAATCTGTAGGAGCCATTCTTTGGCATCAAGTGACCTGTTAAGTCAAGGGCTCCTTTGAAACCTCAGTCACTGTCTGGCCCCCGCTGTCTTCCCCTCCCTGTCCCAGGGCATGAGCAGGTAGATGGGGACTAGCTGAGACAGGGGAGAAGCTGGGCTGAAGCCCACCTGCACCACTGTGGAACTTGGGGCTCAACTGCTCCATGTCTCTGAGCTTCAGCTTCCTCCTCTGTAAAATGGATGCAATGACATGTTTCTTGCTGAATTGTTACAAGGACTGTATGGACCCCAACCCGGAGCCTGGCACTTTGGGGCTGCTGGAGCATTATGATCATCACAATGTTCCTCGTGCCTCTTGAATGATGTCACCAGCAGCCAATCAGAAGGCTCCTGGGCTGTTCCAACAGTGGGGCTCCATCTGTGAGCCGTGATTGGCTTTCCCAGGAGTCTGAGGCTTTGAATGACCATCTAGTCTTAAGGGACTTTGGATAATCTTGTAACAAGGGAGAGCTTCTTCTCACCAAGGCCCAAACCTCACGCCCACTTCTTCCATCTGGCCGCACCAAGTTCCCCGGAGCTGTGGGCCGAGGGCAAGCGACCGAAGTCCCATCTTACTGAGGCTTGGTGGAGCCTCCTCTGCTGGTTTTCTCCTCTGTGATCAGCACCAAAGGCCGAGACAACTGCCTGGCACGGCGTGAAGTCCAGGAAACACTTCTCCCCCGCAGTCCCCACCGTGGAGGGGCAGGTGGGCCCCGTCGAGGCGTTTCCTAATTCTCGAGATGGCCCCCAGTAGGACTGTCTCGTCTTTGTGTTTTCTGCTGGGGAGACAAATGAAGACCAGACTGAATTTATAAATATCCCACATTTTGTTGCTAATTACTGCGCTCCCACATGACTGAGGAATGCGTAAGCCGGACCATATAGTGTGAAATATGAAATGTAGACCATCCCTTATTTAGGCAAATATATGCATTCATTCATGCACGCTCGATGAATATTAGATACCAAACCTGGGCCTCGCAGAGTTAATGGTTCTTGGCACATATGAGCAAACCGGATAGATTAGCTTTTCCTATATATCTACAGGTGTTTTATTCTTATTTTCTATTTGTATATAGTTTTATGCTATTTTTATTCTTATCTATATGTTTTTATCACATTTTAAGTAAGTATCCAGGACTTTTGTGGAAATATAAACCCTAAAAGTTGCTCTCTGGTATTCCAGGTTCCTACCCCGCATCCACCATCTTATATAAAAGCATCGAGCAAACGCTCCATCCTTTCCTTCTCTCTCTCTTGTGTGGTTCCCAGCAAACTGCTCTCGCCAGCCCCTCTCCTCCCCCACCCCCAGCACGGTGCCATGACCCGTGTTCTGCTTGGACAGGTTTGACACGCAGCTGGCCCAGGCCCTGGGTGAGTCGGTGTTTGAGAAGGGCCTCCGAGAGAAAGTGGCCCAGGAAAACACCAGCGTCCGGTGGGAGCTAGGCCAGCTTCAGCAACAGTTGAAGGTAAGGGATGGGAGGCACGGAGCCCTCTGCACCCTTGGGGGCAGGGTCTCACGAAACCCCACTGGGCACCTGCTGTCAATGGTGATGGGGAGAGAACTCTGTGTGGGTACCTGGTCTGCCAGCCAACCGGGGTTGTGGATCCCAGCATGCCTGAATAAAACAAATAGTGGGTGGCAGGTTGATCGTCAGACCTCCCTAGTGTCATGTAGTGAAATTGCTTTGGTCACCTGTATGCGTTCTAAGGTGCCATCTGTGAGGTCTAAGAGGTTCGGCAAAGAATGAGTCAGCTGTAGCCCCATCCAGGGGCAGGGACAGTGCCCTATCCCATGCAGGCTCCAATGCAGAGGGAGTTTGTAAAATATGACATGGGCACCTCACCCCTTACTCTTCAGTGGCTCCCTATTACCCCCGGGAGAACCTCTAACATCTTAGCCTGGCGTGCAGCTCCTTCATGATCTAGCCTAAGTTCTTTGACCCTGGAGCCAACCTGCTAACCTGGAAGAGTCATTTCTGTACACTTTGCCTCCCTGCTCCGGCAGCTCAATCTTAGCCTTGGCAGGTGCACAGCTCACAAATGGGGCAAACACTTCCTGGAGGTGTTTGAGCTCTGATGCATTGCTCTCCCACAAAGGCCACCATCCTGCCTAGGTGATCTGTCCCAGAGAGCAGCCCTTGGTGTCCCACAGGGGGTGCCGTGAGGGGCTGCAAGGGAGGTGGAGGTCGAGGTGGCATGCCTTGAGAAGTGGCGAGCGCCCTTCCAGCAGGCGGTAGACAGTGAGGAAGGGGCACCTGGTCATGTGACTCCACATCTCTGTCCCCTTTGTCGCTGTAGCAAAAGGACCAGGAAGCTGTGCAGCTGAGGCAGGAGGTGGAGATGCTGCAGGCCCATAAGCGGGAGCTGCTGGCGTCGTCTTCTCTGGGGGAAAATTGTGTCGCGGGCTTGAAAGAGAGGCTCTGGAAGCTGGAATCCAGCGCCCTCGAGCAGCAGAAAATCCAGAACCAGCAGGAAAACACCATCAAGCAGCTGGAGCAGGTAGGGAAGCCCTGTCCGGGAGCCATGCCCTGCCCCACGCTGACCCCAGTGCAGAGGGGTGTTATTAAAGCACGACATAGGCACCTCACTCAGCCGCTCCGCATCCTTCTGTGGCTCCCTATTGCCCCAGAGAATCTCTCAACCCATAAGGCTGACATTCGGATCCTTCATGATCCAGCCCTCCCCTACGGTCCTAAAAGCATCAATGTCCCCTCACGGAAGCTTGCCTGATCGCCTTCTCAAAAATAGCCCCACCCCCATGCCACATTTGCTTCCTGTCTCCAGAGCTGGTTTGTCCTCCTTCATAGTACCTGCCATCATATTTTTTAAAAATTTGTGCAATGCTTCTCTCTCCCATTCGGGTATAAGTTTCAGGAAGCCAAGGATTTTTGTTGGTCTTACTTATCAGGAACCCACAGAGCCTAGAATGAGGCCTGGTACATCATTGGTGCTCGATAAATGTTGACCCAATATCTGACATTTATTGAGCACTGTCTGTGTACCAGACTCAGCCCTAAGCTCTCCCCACGTATCATCCCGTGAATCTCCACAAGCACCTTATATGGTGAGAGAGTAGCCTGATCCCCACTCTACAGATGTGAAAGTTGAGGCTCAGAGACGTGGAGAAAGTAGCAGGGATGGGCTTGGAGGCTGCACCGTCTGACTCCACAGGGCCTTGAATACCTACCATGTGCACGGCCTCGAGGAAGATTGGAGCACCGTCTCTGGGAAATGCAAAATAACTAAGGGGAATAGGTAGGGGTATCAAATACTCCAGTACCAGCAGCCTCAATGAGGTACCACAGGAGTACTTATCTGCTTGTTTGTTTATATGCCCACCTTGTTCAACAAAGAATTCGAGGCAGCTTATAAGATGCATGCATAATAAAACAGAAAAATTAGAAATAAAAATCTGAACCAGAAAAACACAAGATAAGTTAGTTGCTAAGGAGGAGTGGGGATGGTGAATTAACACACAGGGGCACAAAACATACGATCTTACATACTTTATAGTTTTAGCTCTGAGGTTCCTGGTGGCCAGAGAGAAAAAGGAAATGTGTTACACACATGTTTTTTATTGTCCCCTAGATGAAAACAAACCAGTTCTTCAAGGGTAAACAAGACTTTTTCTGAGGCTTAGCTCTGAATAAACTTCTTATGTAGGATTTCATAAGACGCAATTATCTTGAAGTGGTTTTAAGGCTAGGGCCCCTTTTGCAAGAAAATCTGACCAGGCGGTGTGAATGGGTAAAGTGGGGACCTCTGAGCAGCAGTGATGAAGTCAGGGGTGGGGGTGAGGGTGAGGGATGCGGGGGTAAAACTGGGGTGCCAGCCCTTGCTTCTCACTTACCCCCACTCCCTTGGCACGGCCTGCTCAGTATTGAGACGTGGGGATGGTGGGCATGGACGGCCAGAGTCTTGAGCAGTTCAGAAAACACAGTTCCTTTCCTCACGCAGTCAACCTGTATTTATCAAGCAGCTACTTTGAGTCGGGTACCATGTAGATGCTAAGCGTGCAGCTGTAAACAAGGCAGACGTGGTCCCCGCCCTCCCAGCATAGCGATGCTGATGCTGAAGGTCATGGGCAAGTTTAACTTGCAGATCTGGTCTGGGGAGCAGGGTTGGGGAGACAACCAAGAAAGACTTCCTGGAGGAAGTGCCATTTACTGAAGCTGAAAAATGGGTCTGAGTTGGCTGACCAAGAGAATTCCGGGCAGGAGGAACAGCCTGGAGGTGGGAAGGTCATGGGACATTAAGGAGCTGTAACATGGTCCCATCCAGACAGGGTCCTTGAGGCAGCTCATGGTCTGTATGACATTAGGCAGGCCGCCTGTTTTCTCTGGACTCAGTCTCCTCATCTGAAGGATGAGGTAGATGAAGTCAGAGCCTTGTCAGTCCCCTGGTCCCCCTCCACCCCGGCTGTGAATCTGTGAAGGTTCAGGAAGGGAGGGGAATCTCTGTGTGGGTCATTCAGGGACACGGAGGACGGCGCAACATCATATAGCAGCCCAGAGTCAAGAACAAAGCAAGCGCCTGGGAAAATGGTGTTAACTCTTTAAGATACCGCCAGGGAGCCACTCGGTGCTCCGAAGCAGGAAAGTTCTCCTGTGACCTCAGGGACCCGAAAGTTAATGCGGCTTCCTAAGTTTCCACCCTCAACTTACTCGGGAGGCAAGGCTGACTCAACACTTTCATCGGTCTCTAGCCTCACCCGTAACCTCATCCTGCGTTCATTGTGTCCTTATAGACATCCAGGAGATATTTATTGGTTACAATATAGCACTTTTTCCAGGGAATCTTATGTTAACTCATATACGCTTGACATAAATGGTATTGCAGCCGTCAGGAGTGTCCAAGAGGCTAGAGAAAAAGGAAAAAGAAATATTATATTTACTTGCTTAAGCTCCTCATTTTGGATTATCTTCCCATAACCTCTGTCATTTTAAAGGAGGCGAGGAAGGGAGTTGACATTTAAAGGGAGCCCGCTTCATGCCAGGAACTGTAATAGGAGCTCTGACGTCCTCTTTGCTTTAGACGCTTTGCCACAGTCCTGTGTACACAGCAGAGAATATTATCAACATTTTCAAAGACCAAGATTGTTTTTTCTCAACTTAATTTCCATGTTAGGGCCAGCAGTTGTAACCTTCTGAAGCTTGGTGAGAGACGCCAGGCAGAGCAATAAATAATCAGAAGGTTTTAGTTTCTACAATGTAACCCATCTACACGCTTCGGTTCCAAATGGTGCTTCACGGACGAACCCCATTCAAGAGTGCAGACTAATGAAAGCTTGAAGGTATAGATTCATGGGACCTGCATCCCAGAGATTCTTATTCATTAGGTCTAGGATGAAACCCTGAAATTTAAAGTTTTAAAAAATGCATTTAGGTAATTCTAATGTGTCACAAAATGTGAGAAGCAAGAGCTTGGAGCGGTTTCTCAGTTATGCAGATCGAGAAAGTGACGTCTTGAACTGGAATTGGAACCCATGACTTCTGTCACCGGTTCTAAAACCTTTCATACAATGTCACACAGTTTAAACATCACACACAACTCTTTGCTCAGAGCAAGTTTTGGGGGCTCTCATTTAAAAGGCTCATCTCCTTCCTGGGAGCACAGCTAATTATGTCAGGCTGCCAGGAAGGGAGAGGATGGTCCTTTCTCTCTGTTTTCAAGATAATGGGGAAAGAGGGAGTAATGTTTATATGCCAGGCACTGGCTAGATCCTTTACATGGATCATCTCATTGAGTTCTCAGAATTCAAAGATGGTTGTTTTTTACAGAGAAAGGGAACCGGGCAGAGTCGAGGTGAATTGTCCATAACATCCTGGGCGAGTTATCTCCCGTTCTGGGCTCTCATATCTTCATAAATAAAATTTTGTTCCACCATCCGTCCACTCACCTATCCACCCATCTAAAAACCATCACTGATGTCTCATCCAGGAATAACAAATTTTTAAGAATGATAAGAGTGATTCTGAGGCTACATTTAAACTCAGTGGGAAAGAGTCTGATTGACTGGTGATGCCTGTTACGAGCACAGGAAGGGATACAGGCAGCCTTGGGGCTGTTTGTTTACCATTTCTGACCTTCCTGGGGGCCTGGGAGGATAACTTGACCCTCATCCATGCACTCCAAACATGGACAATGCAATTGGGATGCCAAGGATGACGTGGAGGGCCTGGGGAGTCAGTGAGGGTCACCCTCACACTCTGTCCTTGCTGCCCCTCAGCTCCGCCAGCGGTTCGAGCTGGAGATCGAGAGGATGAAGCAGATGCACCAGAAGGACCGTGAGGACCAGGAGGAGGAGCTGGAGGACATCCGCCAGTCCTGCCAGAAGCGGGTATGTGAGCGGTGAGGCCAGCCACGCCCTTGGGCCCTGATGGGTCCAGCCTTGTTTCTCTTCCCTAGAGTGAAGGGGAGGCCGGGGTATGGGGATGGGGCGCTTTCTGCAACCACCTGCGACTTAGCTCCCTAGGTGCTTTGAAGGGGTGCTTGCGCAGAGGTATCTATCTTAAATATGGTCCTGGAACTTCCAGAAGCCTCTGGAACTGTCCAGCACAATCACCCCACGATTTCTCCCAGGAGCCCATGATGCCATGCGGCTGATGCCTTGGGCGAGGACGTGTATCATAGATGTTTCAAGAAGGGGACCGTCCCTTCTGGCTATTTCCCTTCTAACTCACATAATTTCTTGCATTTATCCAAGCTCTTTGCAGACGTTTAAAACAGTGTATAAAAAAGCGCTAAGTCCTTGAAATCTCACCACCTAGAAATCATCGTTATTACTATTTTTAAATATTGCCTTGTCTCTCTCTTTCATCGTATCCACACACCTGTGTATTCGTAGAGATATCATTTTGCCTAAATGGGTCATGCTGTTTTGAAGCCCGCTGTTTACACTCAGAGGTCTGTCCTGGGCCTGCTTCCATGTCGGTAAATACAGAGCAAACGTATGTTTAATGGCTTACAAGGAGTCCACTGGAGGAGCGTGCGCTAACTTACTCAAGTCTCCTGTTGTCGGACATTTAGGATGTTTCTGACTTTCTGTTACTATACTCGGTGCTGGGACAAACATCTTTATCGATGCTTTGACTGATGTGGGTGTAAGATGAATCTTTACAGCGGGATCGCGGGCACGCTTAGGGTTTGGCCTCATGTGCCAGGTTTCGTCTCTGCAGGACTTCTCCGGGTCTTTCCTAGCCTGGTGCGCATTCTGAATCTCCAGGAAGGGGCTGAGACCATTTCCCAAAGTTGACCGCAATTATTCGCTCCCTATACAGTATCTCTGTGGAGACATTAGGCTGTAGGGGTGAGAACTGGGGCGTTGGGGTCCATAGACTCCTGCCCTTCAACTTAACCACTGTGTGATCTCGGAGAAGTGATTTTAAACCCTCAACTTCCACCCAAATCCCATCCGCTCCCTGGCTCCTTGCTCTGTATCCAGGGCTGGTCAGTCAGAGACAGTTTGTAAGACACACGAGAAAGCCAGCGTTGCTATATTATTTGGAGTCGTGGAGAGCTGGATCAGGTCCCAACCCCATTAACGACCCAATGTGGGACATTGGAGAAATCCCGTAACCTTGCTCATAAGCCTCGCTTTTTTCATCTGTACAATAGGGTCATAATGGCTCCCTGGCAGGGTCGCAGCACAGATTCAAGCAGATCACCGATGGGGAAACGTTGCACGGAGTTTCCTAATAGAATCCCCGGATGTTGGAAACTAACAAGCAGCGCCAATGTGTGTGGATTTCCAGGCAGCCGGCCCTTCCAGACGAGCCAGGGAGCCGGCCTGGTGGTTGGTTTGCTCTTAGGCCTGATTAACCTACTCAAGAGAAGACTGGGTGCCCTGCAGAGCCCCCAGTGCTGCATGATCCTGGGTGGGGCTGGAGGGGGCCTTGGTGATTGTCAGACCTCGTTGGGGGATGGGAAGCTAGCTGGGCACATCCTCGGGCAGATGGGACTGCCCTGTACCCTGTCCCTGCTCCAGGGGAGTGTAAGAACTGAGCCTGTTCTTCACCCCCAGTGGTGGATGCTGCCACATCTGCTGTCAGTGCTGCTCCTCATATACTCCTTTTGGGGCCCCTTTAAGGCTCAGTTCCTCTGGGGGTTCACATGGATCATCCTCAGGGCCCAAGTGCATCCCCCCAGAGGTCCCCAGGGTTGGAGAGAAAGTCTATGATTTGGGGCTCAGCCTGACCTGTGTGCCCTCGAGAAAGTCCCATAACCTCCCAAGACTCAGTTTTCTGATCTGTGAAATGGGAGCCATGATAGAAACTATTCTCCCTTCCTTTCGCTATTGTGAGGACGAAATAGATGAATAAGTGCCTTGTAAACTGGAAAGTTCTTGGAGTTATCACTGAGCAGCCAGTTCCTGCTTATTTTCTGTTATTCCATATTTGGGGGACACGAGTGGCATTCTTTGAACTCCCAGTGGGCGCCATGCACCAGGCTGGGTTCTTTATGTCTGTCAGCTTACATAATCCTCACAAGAACTCTGTAAGGTTTATTGTCCTGCTTCTACAGATGAGGAAACTGGAGCTCAAAAAGGTGAAGTGACTCACCCAAGGCCACCCAGCTGGGAAGTAGCTGAGCCAGAACTTGATCTCAGTCCTGTCTGACCCAAAGCCCAGTGTCTTAACCAAAACACTATATATGTATATACATATATACATGCAATATATGTATTGCAATATACAGATTGCAAATGTTTAGACCACAGAAGACAATTTAGGAAGCACTTGATAGAAGTCAGCCTTGGGCAACGCTGTATCCTTTAGCACTTCCTGCATGTGAGCTTCCCAAAGGCTCTGATAAGTCCGTCACCGAACAACCCATTAACTCAGTGGTTCCCACACTTATTCTAGCGCAGACATCCCTCCGCAGCCCCCCACATCATACCTGTGAACACCATGTGGAAATATTCTACGGAACACGCTCCAGAAAACTTTGCCTTGCTTAATGGATAGTTTTTATTATTTTGTATATGTTTCAAAATGAGTTTTGGCTATTCCGGTCTTCATTCTAAAAGCAGACGTGAGCAGAGGGCCTTGAATCTCTTACTCTGAAAAGAGAGTTTTGAAATGAACTTGCTTTCTCCATACGTCGCCATCAATCATTATAATTTCCCCCTGTGTGTCAGGAGATGGAGGCCCCCAGTCCCTGCCGCTGTGCCCTCGGGTGAAGGTTGCACAATTTCTGGTGCATTCCAAGAGTGCATCACAGCATGATGAGCGCCCCGAGCCAGGGCCCCGGCGAGGTGGGGATGTGACCCAGACCTTCCTGAGGCTTTTCCGTGGACAGATTTATACAGAGAGAGAGTGAGGTCAGAGAAAGGTGTTTTTCTCCTTATGACAGACTCTCACATCGACTTCACATCTGCCGACTGCCCTGCTCAGTCTGTCTCTTACGGTGGCAGGAAATCAATTGTGAGTGACCTGGGTGGGAATGCGGATGGCCGTCTGGGGTGGCAGAGGAGCTGGGGCCAGGAGAGAGAACGCTAACTGCTCTCAGCAGCAACTGACTTAGGCGTGTGTGCTTCAGAACCCCTCTCTGACTCACTTTACCCGCCTGTGAAATAGGGTTCTTGATAGTGCAAGATGGAGAGGGAGGAGGAAGGGGTGAGGTAACATATACGGGGGAGGCGGGTGGAGGGGAAGAGGGTGAGAAAAGCACTGCTAACGCGGGGTATTCCCTCCGGGGGAGTGCCTGCCTTTGCTGCGGGATTACTGAGCAATCAGAGTGACCGTAAACTAAATGAGATGCTCATCCTGATGTCTTAGCTGGTTCCGGCTGCTATAACAGAATATCACAGATCGGGGGCTTAAACCATGAACACTTATTTCTCACAGTTCTGCAGGCTGAGAAGTTCAAGACCAAGGTGGTGGCAGATTGGGGGTCTGGTGAGGGCTCTCTTCCTGGCTTGTGGGTGGCCGCCTTCTCGTTGTAGGTGGAGAGAGAGGAAGCCAGCTCTGTGGAGTCTCTTCCTGTGTGAGGGGCACTCAGCCCAGCCCGGGGGCCCCACCCACATGACCTCATCTAATTACCACCCGAAGGCCCCACCTCCAGATACTGTCACACTGGGGTTAGGGCCTCAACACAGGAATTTCGGAGGGACCGAACATGCAGTCCATAACACAGAATAATCTCATATGCAACTTTTCTTTTTTTTTTACTGCATCATTGTATATTTATCAATGGAGATGGATGCATTTTGCTCTGTTGCACATAATGTTGTGCAGAACCTTAAAAAGTCAGAGTGGCAAGAGTTGTAAATAGTCAATAGATCTTGGCATAGGCAGGCGACATCCATTAGGGAACGGGTAGGGAGCTGGGGGAGGGGGCTTCACAGTGAAGGGCAGGGGGCTCCCCACAATTGGCCGGCTCTCCCCATAGTTGTCTGGCTCCCAAGCTTTAAGGCTCCTGAGTTCTCTGTCAGAGACACCCCTTCCCAATCTCTAGGGCAGCCTTTCTGGAGCTGGACAAGGGGCCATGAGCTCCATGTCATCTCGCTCCTCGGAGGGTCCCTGCCTGGTGGTATTTGTCCCAGTGGAGCTCATTTATCCCATGCATGCCTCTGCCCTTTGTGCCCGCAGCTCCGCCAGCTGGAAATGCAGCTGGAGCAGGAATATGAGGAGAAGCAGATGGTCCTCCATGAGAAGCAGGATTTGGAAGGCTTGATCGGGACCCTCTGTGATCAGGTAAGGTGGGGACACCAGCAGACACTTGGGAGAACACATTCCCTGCCTCTGGGCCCTATTTGAGAGGCGGGTTCGTGGGGAGGCCAGCTGGAGGGGTCTCAGGACTAACCAGGGCCAGTCCCCTCACCTGGCTTCCACCTGCTTCTCTCCAGCGCCCTCTTCTCCATCACTTCTGTCCCTGCCCACGCTCACCGGCTCTTCTAAGGGGACCTTCCAGTGTCTGCACAAAGCAGGGTCTTGGGAGAGCCTGTGAGTCTAAACAGAGGGGGCCAGAAGTGGCGGATGAGGCCGCCTCACTTCAGCTGCTGTCGGGGTGAGAGTGTAGACAGCCCTTGCTTTACTGGGGTGGATGTGAATGGCCAGGGTACTCACAAGTGGCCTTGTGAAAACAAGACTTTTGCTAGAGGCTCTGAGTCAGGCAAATGTGGCTTTAAGCACTCCCCAGGCCACTTCTGTCTACACAGCTTTGGGCGAGCTGGTTAACCGCTCTGAGCCTCTGCAGGGCAGGGCCTGTGGGGTTGTTGCCGTCGCTGAATAGCAGGGTTCTCAGCTGCAGCTCTGTGGACATTTTGAGCCACATCATTCTTTGTGGTGAGGGGCTATCCCAGGCTTTGTAGCGTGTGGAGCAGCATCCCTGGCCTCCACCCATTAGATGCCAGCTGTACCCCCCCGGATGTGACAGCCAGAAATGTCTACAGACGTTGCCAAATGTCCCTGGAGAACAAAATCGACCTTCCCCCTTACAGAGAACTGCTGCCGTAAATAAGGCAGCCGTCAGAGCACAGGGCCAGCTCGTAGTTTCAGAGTTGGGAGGAAATGCTCCCTCGGCCCCTAACTATTCCTTTCTCTGCCTGTTCTTCTGCTACTTGAAACCCCAAGGTTGGAGAGGTATGCCTGTGGCTTCTATGATCTCCTTTAAAATAGCACAGGAGTGTATTTTAATGTATTTGCTTAACATGCGTTCATTGTCTTTTAATTAGCAATGATCCTGCCATCAAAGACCTTCCCTGAGAGTCATTAGTTTTGTTCACAAAGGAATGTGGGCCCCCTTCAAATCATCTAGGGCAGCCGGGCCTGGACAAATAGGTGCTCACTATGCATTTTGAAAAAAGTTGATTCAATGAGTGAATCCTAGCTGTTCTGAGGAATAGGGTTCTACACATGGCAAATGGATCAGCTTGTTAATTTTGTGATTTAAATATTATACTCAAATATAAAAGCGCAAACCACAAAGGAAAAGTTAAAAATATATAAAAAAAATCACTTCCTATTAACTTTGATTTTGTCTGCTTGAACTGTTTCTGGAAGAGTCCTGGTATATTCCCACTGTTATTGTGGTTTTGCCAAGTTTTGCTTATAATTCTGTTTTAGTTTTCTCTTTATGTATTTTGAGGTTATATTTTTAGGTGCATCTAAATTTATTATTGCCTTATTTCCTTGGCAGATTGTAGATTGTTTCTTTGATTATTGTATAGTGTCCCTTTTTCTCCACAAATGGCTTTTGCCTTATTTTATTTTGCTTGTTTTTTTTAGATGCCTGCAGGACTTTTTTTTATCCCTTCATGTCCAGCCTTTCCAAATGTGTGTGTGTGTGTTTCATTTAAACAGCTGGATACTTTTTAACCCCATATTTTAGTCTCTAACTTTTCATAAGAGAATCTAGTTCATTTACATTTATTATAATGACTGATATATTTGAAATTATTTCTAGTCTCTTATTTTTGCGTTTAGTATTTGCTGGTTTATTGTCCTTTTTCTTTGCTTCTTTCTTTATTCCTTTCCTGCTTTTAGACAGATTGATAACATTTTCTGTGATCCCTTTTGTTCTACTGTTCGTTCTAAAGCTACAAACCATGTCTTTATTCTGTTAGTAGATAAGTATTTAATCTTAATTTTTTTCTAACAGACTTTATTTAATTTTTACAGCAGTGCTATGGGATAGTTATTATTAGTTTCTTCATGTGAGAGAAGTGAGGCTCAAAATGTATTGCAAATTGCCCAAGATCATATAGCTTGTTAGCGGTCTAGGTAGATTTGAAATGAGGTCTATATTATTCGAAAGCCTATTTATTTTTTTAATCTAGCACCTTGCTGCTTAAAAGCAATTAAAGTCCAGTTAACTAGAATCAACTTTTGTTGACTGTGTTGATTTTTTCATAATGTTATCGGGAGGTCCAGCTCTGCCACTAATTTACTGTGCGACCTTCAGCAACACGCATTCCCCTCCAAGCCTCAATTTCCCCATCTGTAAAGGGACTTGGTTATCCCTAACAACATTTCCAGGTCGTATTTTAAAAGTATTTGGAGAGATCTTTGACAACAGACATTTAACAACTGCCCCAAACAATTTGCCTTCATGATAAATGGTGAAACATTTGAGGTTTGAATACAGTTTCCCACAAGAACACTAAACATCATTTAGATTTATTGGTTAATTATTCACCAGATTTATCCAAATTTGAATCTTCATGCTGCAAAATGTGAACTTGCAGAATGACATTTATTTCCCATTAAGCTAATGAGATTTTTTTTTTTTTTGCCCTCCTCTCCCGTAGTAATTCATTATGATGGGGAGGATGACTTGTCTGAGATTTTGTTGTGAATTTTGTTTGCAATAATTCCTCTGGAAAGGAGATGGTGCCAGCATTTTTAGGGGCTCTCTGGCAGTGAAGACGGTAGGATCTGAGCCATCCCTACTGCATGGTCAGTGACAACATCAAGGAATGTCCCTCATGCCAACTTGCCCCACAGCAGGATTAAAGGCACTTTAGAATATATGCAGAGCAAGAACACACACAAAAATAAGAAAGATGCAAAGCACACTGTTTGAATGCAATCATGGGAAAGACCCTGGGCTCAAGTTAATAAAGTGGGATTCAGGTTCCACCAGGTGCTGTGGTGCAGTGGTTAGAGACTTGCATTCTAACGCTGAGCTTCCTGGGTTCAAATCCCTGGGCAGCCCCTTAGTAGCAGTGTGACCTTAGGCAGATCACTTACCCTCTCTGTATTCATTTTTTCAGCTGTACCTCCATTTCCCCAGGACAGCACCTACTTAAGAGCCCCACACAGCTCACAAGGCAGGAGCTGGTTCCGGGCAACTTCTCTCGCTCTGTGACCTGGCCCACCCTCATGTTTTATACCCTGATGCTAATCACCCAGAATTGCATGTACAAGACAGTTTCCTGGCCCTCTATCTCGCCCATGCAGTGCCTTCCACCTGCAGTGCTCTTCCTGAACCTCACCCAGCTCCTGCTTATCTCAGACCCTTCCTGACCCTTCCCAGCCTGAGCTGGGTGACGCTCCCCTGTGTCTTCATAACGCTGTTTTCTCTCATCATCTATTTTACTCAAATTACCTCTCTGCTGTCAGAAAAGCTGGGTTCATATCCTAACTCTGCCACTTATTACTAACTGTGTGATCTTGGGCAAAACTATTTCACCTCTGTGAGCTTCCGTTTCGTCATCTGTGGGATGAGAATCATAATACTACGCACCCCATACATTCATCGGGAGGACTAAATATGTTAATATCCGTAAAGTGTTTAGAACAGTGTCTGACACTTAGAAAGCCCTCCATAAATGTAAGCTATTACTACTTTTATAAAGGCAATAACAATAATGTCTATTTTTAAGAGATTGTCACAGGAGTTAAATGCAATAACACGTGACAAAGGGCCTGGCACGATTCCCAGTCCTCCGCTCAGCAGGTGAGAATATGTGTGTGTGTGTATATATATATTAGACCAGCATTTTAAACTGAGCAAAGCCGTACATCAGAGCATAAAGAGGCTGTATTCTAAGAACCAACTCATTTTTCAAAGAATTCGAAACTCGTGCTAGAGAAATAATAAGGCAAAATCTAGAGAAGTACATTCTGGGTCATCAAACAATACTCATAATCCTTTATATTTGTAAAGCACTTGACAGCGTACAAAATGCTTTCAATCCATTATCACACCTGATCCTTGTCTTGTCTCGACATGGAGGATAGAGAATTTTTTTCTTTTTGTTCTTTTGGAGAAAAGGAAACTCAGGTTCAGAAAGGTCGCATGACTCAGCCACAGTTCCCGCCAGCCAATGGCGAGCCAGGATGTAAAGCCTGGGTCACCTCCTTCTAAATCCCACATTCTTTCTAGAATATTCTGGGGCCTTCTGAGCCTCCCAGGAAATGTTTGCACTTGGTGTAGGGACACAGATATCTAGGTGTATAGAAACTGGGTCCCACGGTTGAGACACCTATATCCTATTTTCTTGGAAGCTCCCCACCTGACTGATGACGCTGTGTTCTTTCCTCTGGTCCCCTGAAGAGAAGGGGACTGTCAGGCTCTTTTAGAGACGCAAGCCCAATGTTTTTAAGTCAATGCCCTGTTTCTAGGGGAGACCGTAGGCTGTCGGGGTTTCACGGCAGGCCCCTGTTGTGACTCTGTGTCTCCCTTGGTTGTCTCTGCCTGTGTTGTTGACCTTTGAGAGTGGTCACCCTCCTGGTGCCAAGTCCAGAATGTGGCTTCCTCAAGAGCCACCTGACAACTGTTTGCTTGGAGTACAGGGCCTGCAAATTCAGGATTCTAGGGGAAGGAATGTGCTCTCCTCTGGGTAAGCTCCCTCTGCTGAAAATGACCTCATCTACCCATCCTTAAACTGGCACAAGGGACCAGCTCGAGAGACAAAAAAGCTTGATTGAGACGTTCAAACGCAGCAAGCGATTTTTACTACTCTTTACCGAAGTGTAACACACACGCAGAGAAGCACGCCGTATCCCACTGTACAGCTCAATGAATTTTCATGAACTCCTCAAACCAGCACCCAGATTAATAGCGCGAATAACGGCCCCCTCCTGGACTAGCCAGGCCCTTCCCTCCAGGGTGACTGTGGTTCTTGCTTCTGCCAGCAGAGGGCCTCACCGGGCAGGCGGGCTCCCGCGAGGTGAGGAGAGGCCCCACTGAGGACTTTCATGCAATTAAAGATGAGACAGAATGACTTCGGGTCCTCACAGGCTGCCATCACAGCAATGACGGCAACTCATCTTCCTCGTGCCTTTCCTATGAGTCGGGCACAAAGCTGAGCCCGTATTTAATTTTCGCAGCAGCCCTGTGTGGTTGATGCCATTCCCATGTTCAGATGAGGAAACTGAGGCTCAGGGAGGAGAAGGGTCTTGTTCAAGGTCTCCCAGTGTGAGTGGTGGAGGCAGGATTCAAATCCAGGGGGCCTGGTTCCAGAGAACTAGGATTTGGGCCACTGCTTTGCTGTCTTAGCTCACAAGAGCCCTCCCTTGGCTTCCAGATCGGCCATCGGGACTTTGACGTCGAGAAGCGTCTTCGGAGGGACCTCAGAAGGACCCATGCGCTGTTGTCGGACGTACAGCTCCTTCTGGGGACCATGGAGGATAGCAAGACGTCGGTCAGCAAGGAGGAGCTGGAGAAAGTGCACAGCCAGGTGGGTGCTGCTGGGCTGCAGAGGAAGCTGCAGCCAGCAGTGGGGGAAGAATGGCTCCCCATCCCGGGAAGGGACATGGCCACAGTGCTGACCTCCGAGCTTCACAGACCTGCAGGGCGATGGGGGCCCCCGGGGGCTCGGTAGGTCCCCTGGAGGTGGTAGGTGAGGGGGAGGTGTTTACAAATGACTGAGGGGTTCTGTTTCTTTCTCAGGGCTGAGGTCAAATGTGTCTTGAGGGATTGGGCAGAACAGGGCCGTGGGGCAGAATGGCTGAGTGCAGCTCACATGCATGTGTGCGTGTGTGTGCGTGTGCGTGTGTGCGTGTGTGTGTGTGTGTTTGGTGACCACCCGGGCTGGGCATGAAACAAATGGGAATAGTGCTAATAATGCAAAGCTTACCCCTAATGACAACAATAACAAAAATAGCCACGTGCCTGCCTATTGGGAGGCTAGTGATACCGACCACGACGGGATGCTGGTCCGTGGCTGCTCCCTTCTGGAGCCCCCACCATGTACCGGGTACTCTGTACAGAATGTTGCACTGAGTTCTCAGGAGAACTGAGGGACGTGAGGATCATCACCTCCATTTCACAAGTGAGGTGACTGGGTGGCAGAGAGGGGAGGTGACCCCCCAAAGTCACACGGCTAGAAGGTGGCCGAGCCAGGATTCGAACTCAGGGCTTGGGCCCACCATCCCTGGCTGACTCAGAGGAGGACCAGAGCAGTGAGTCTGAGGGAAGATGGAAATGAGGCCAGGCAGGAGCTGGGGACCTCAGGAGATGTGCCAGGTGCGGCCATGGTGGCCGGGGCGGTGGGTGTGCAGAAGCGTGATGGGCAGATCCCACAGTGTGAGGGGAGCCTTGGGGAGAGACGGCCCGGAGCAGAATGACACTCAGGATGTGCTGGCTGTCCCCCGGGGAGCTGGACACACACACAGAGGCTCGGGGCCCTGCTGGGGGTGTTGCGTCCATGCATTTGGTGTCCTTCTAACGTACGCACACCCCACCCTCGGATAAACCACCGTCTGAATCCAAGTGTGGGGAGACGAGCATTTCCGTCTGCCTTCACCGTTTCTCCTTCTCTGAGTGTTGCCGTCGTGTCTTCCTCCTCCTCTGGGCTTCTGTCATGCCACATGGCCGGGGGCTTCTTTATCTTCACAGAATATCCCCAGAAACTCACCTGGGTCACATTGGACTGACTCTTGAACAAGACTCCATGCTTCCTGAGGGCAGGACTCTGTTTTGTTCACCTCTGATGACACCCATCCAGTCCATTGCACATCAGGAATACTGAATAAATGCCTTCCTGTGGAATTCAATTGGCGCATCCTCCTCTTTTGACAAATGAGGAAATCAAAGAACAGAGAGGGTGAGGGATTTGCCTGAGGTCACACAGCCAGTTAAAGGCAGAGCCGGGCCTCAAGCCACATTCTGTGACTCCAAACCCAGTGCTCATCTCTATTCCTTCTGGAGAAGCTTCTGAGAGTCAGCAGTCCCCAGGAAGTCTGTGGGGGGCAGCAGGGTCTAGCTCCAGGTGTTAGAAACTGGATCCAGACTTCCACTGCTTTCTGCCTCTAGCGTCACTTTCCCAACTGTAAAATGAAAGGATTCAGATACAGATTATTAGCTAAAGTAGACCTGTTTTAGAAAAAAGAAACAGAGACCTAAATAGCAGACTTGATTTCTGTTTCTCTGTTAATGTCCTTTTCCTGTTCCAGAATCTCACCCCGGGCGCCACACTGTGTTTAGCTGTCACACCTGCCTGGTACCCTCTGGTCTGGGACAGTTTCTCAGTCTTACCTTGTTTGTCATGACCTTGACAGAGTACTGGCCAGGTAACCTGTAAAACGTCCCCAAGCTGGGTTTGTCTGATGTTTTTCTCACGACAAGACCAGAAGGGCAGAGCTGTTAAACCAGAAGGCACATCAGGGCCCTTTTCTCTTGATAATTCTATGATTCTTAGCAGTCTTCGTCATCCAGACACTCTCCTCTAGGGTGACCAACCATCTTGGCTTGTCCCCAACTGTCCTGGTTTTGGCACTGACAGTCCTGTGTCTCAGCTGAGTCCTCAGCGCCAGGCAAACCGGGGCAGTTGGCCACTCTCTTCTCCTCATGGCCATGTCCGAAAACTAGAATCATCTGTCTTGAATGCATCCCCTCACTCAATCCTCACGATTCCCCTGGGGAGAGGGGAAGTGGTGTTGTCCCCATTTTACAGATGGAGAAATTTTGTCCAGAGAGGGGAAGCAATGTGCCCAAGGTAACACAGCAGGTGAGTGGCCGAGCTGGGATTCAGACCCAGGGCTCATGATTCTTCAGTGCAGGATCTGGGGGTTCCTTTGCCTCACCCTGCGTCTTCCTGTCTGTCTGGCTAGCCAGGTGGGCTGGGGACCCTGAGCCTCTTGACTTGCCTCAAGTGGGCAGGGATGTCTGAGCCCTCGGTCAGGGGCAAGGCACCCAGGGTTCATGCAGCCCCCTTGGCAGGGACCACTTGCTCCTCCTGTCTCCCACTGGAGCATTCCTGATACCACAGCATCCACACCTTCCCCGTCCCCACAGATAAATGTTCTCGAAAAGGAACCACGGTGTGTTTGTTTCCTTTTCTTTTTCTTTCTTTTTTTAGCATCCATGAGAAATCTCCCTCTGCAGGGTTAAAATGTGTGTTCTCAGAAAATAGCGGTGTTTCATGGAGGCGCCTTGAGCTGAATCAAAGAGCCTCATTCTTCTGAAAGTCCTTCTCCCCGTCTCTGCATCCGCCTCCTATCAAAGGGAATTCACAGCCTTGGCTTTCTGTCACTGTTGTCATGGAAATCGTTATAAGGATGGGATGGCGTGGACCAGAGGTCGGGGTACAGTTGCTTCGGCTCCCAGCACACGTGGCCCGGATGCTGGAGTCGGAGATAATCAAATAAAGTGGCGATGACATTGGGCGTCGCTGCATCTCCTCCCCGATGGACGGTGTTTATCCTCTACCTGAAGGCTCCAGGGACTGACAGAGGCGGGGGAGCAGACAGGAGGGGGTGGGGAGCTAGCTTGCTGCTGATTGCCTCTCAAGTGTTGGGTATGCTGCCGAACAATCCTGTTCCTTCATCCATCCATCCATTCATTCATTCAGTATTATGCAGCACCTACTATGCGTCAGGCAATGTGCAAGGTCTACGTGGACAGCCGTAAGACAGGTGTGGTACCCTCCCCCCCTGAAACTTACATCTGATGGAACAGAAGACAATCAAATGATGATTCAAATAAATGGTTACATCCCAGCTGAATTCAGGTGATAAAGGAAATAAGCGGGGTCTGGAGCAGGGAGTCGTAAGGGGTCCCGTTTAGCTTGGATGGTCAGCTAAACCACCCTGAGAAGGTGAAGCGGGCAGGGACCAGGACGTGCACAGCCTGGAAGTCTGGATTTTATTCCAAGGGCGCAGAGAAGCCACTGGGAGGTTTTGAGCAGAGGGGGCATAATCCGATTCGCAGTTAGAGGTCACTCTTCCGTGCAGAGAACGGATTGTGGAGGGAAGGAGCGGGTGCTGTTAGGAGGCTAGGGCACTGTTCTGGGCCAGAGGAACTGGCTGCCTGGGCAAGTGGTGATGGAGATGGCGAGAGGGGTCAAGCTTGGGGTTCAAGTAGACGGGACTTGCAGATGGTCGGGGTGGCAGCAATAAGTACATTATTTAGGTAATCCTCGCCATACCCCTAAGAGGTGGATATTTCTACTTTTTGACCCATTTTACTAATAAGGAAACATGTTCTGAGAGGTTGAGTAATTTACCCAAGAGCACACAGCAGTATGTGTCGGAAAGCTGTGCGTGCCAACAGTTTCAGACTTAGGCAACTAGGTTTGCATAATATGGGTCTGTTAACCTTTGTCAAGCACCTACTATGTTCTAGGATTTTCCCTGGTGTCTCAGGGTCCCCAAACTTGGCTGCACACCAGATAACTTAGTACCATTAAAAAATCACAGATTTCTGGATCCTACCCTCAGAGTTTTTTTTAAGTCTGGGTTGGGACCCAGGACTTAGTATTTTAATGGTCGCATCAGGGGCTTCTGATACTGGTCCTAGGGCCAGCATTTGGGTATCATGGACCTCATTTATCCCCCCTTTTCAAGTTCAGTGGCAATACATCTGTTTTGCAGATGAGACAAATGATGGCGAGGTTATATTAGTGCGACAGATCTTAGTTCAACTGATTTTAAAATTAATTGAATTTCGAGTCAAGTGAACTGGATGCAGCGCCTGCTAGTTTTGTGACCTTTGACAAGCGACGTGAACTCCCTGAGCCCTTTGCCTACAGTGGAGCGTCCTCATCGCTTGATGTCCCAGGAGGTTGCAGGGGGCTGATGAGGTGGAGCCAGCGAGGGCTTCAGAAACTCGGACACCCTGCAGCCTTCACAGCTCGCTGCCCATGGTGGGATCACCCAGAGGAAGGTTTGCTCTGGAAGTGCACGGGGAGGGTAGGGGTCCTGAGGCAGCTATGAGAGAACTGCATGCATTCGGCAACTATGGATTCATTTGTCTCCACTGGGGGATGAATTTAAGGCCAGCCTGCAGGGAGGTGGAGGAGACAACAAGGTCCCTGCCCTCGAGGGTCCCCTGGTCCAGGCAATGGGCAGAACTAGGAGCAGACTAGTGCCAAGCAACGTGGTGAGCTCTTTATCGGGGTGATGCTGGCATTTAGCTAGAGAGGATGCCCTTAATTTAGCTGTGGGAGAGGAACTAGCAGCTTCAGCGGTCTCTTTAAAGATGGAAATGACTTGCTGGTTAGGTAAGATGCACGTGGCCATTCTAGGATCATAAAGGGCTGAGGCACGTGGAGATGGGAAGCGTGTTCCCCTTGGCACCGTGTTGCTGGAGTAGAAAGTGCCCGGGAGTCAGAGCAGAGAGGATAATATCAGTAATTGAGGCTGGAGCCAGCTCACGAATGGTTTAGTGAACCCGGCTAAGGAGGTTGCGCTTTATCCCTAAGGTAATAGGGAGCCATGAAGAGCTACGGAGCAGAGA